TAAGGAGAAATGGAGACTTGGATGAGATTAATCATAGAGAAGAGGTATGGAGGTAATGACCAGAGTACAAAATAGTATATATTTGGTGGAACAAACTTCAAAGTTAAAGATGATGCTAAGTTTAAAAGCAGAGTGGTAGCATTTCATACTCCAGAGAATAACGAAGTTTTTCCTTAATGAAATGAATATTCTTTTTGAAGAAAAGCACAGACTCCAAGACTAGAGCAATTTAATGGGAGAACAGTCATACCAATAACACATTAAGTCTTGACCACATTGAAGAGTGCAAAAATCCCATATCATAAAGCCTAGCTTTAGACACTCTCCTCAGCACCCCTCTGCATGACAAAAATACTGTAGCTAACATCACCTGAGGTTGGCAAAGAAGCAACCAATAAAGTTTGCCATTCCTGAATCCTATTGCTGAAACTATAAAAGAGGAGAAACACTCATACTTCAAGGACAGCTGCTCCTTCGAGAACAGAAAGCCTGTGACCTGCCAGCTGCTGTAAAAATCACTGTAAAAATAAGTAAACATTGTATGTGACAGTAAGTCATACGTTTATTACACAGTCATGAAAGCAGATGATATTCAGCTTAAGTGTTTAGAAATAAAACAGATCTTATAGCTGTATCTTCCTTTGTTTGATCCTCTAGGATCTCTCTCCATTTTACCCAATTAAAATGCTGTCAGGATACTGTCAAAACTTGCTAATGACTGACATACTACATCACAATTTTTTAATCATTGCAAGGAAATGTCTTTCAAATCTCAGTATGTAGCAAACTGTAATATATATATATGCATATAAAAACTACAGTTCAGATAGTGATCTGACAATCACATTACATAAATATATAAATAAGAGTTTAAGCACTGGTTTCTGTTGCACCAGATCACATCCAGATGCAATGCACGTTCTAACCAAAAATTCTTTGAGCTGGCATGCTCAAATTTTAATAACCCTTGGCCCAAGACTTAGGGGTATAAAGACAACAAGTGATGCCATGGTTTTCAGCTAAAAAAAAAAATATGCTTTTTTTTAAAGGAAAGGCCTCCAGCTTCAATTTCAATTCAGCTGAACTGACTTCAATCTGACTTATGGTTTACTCAGAAAAATAAATTTCCTTTTATGATCAAAATGGCTTAGCAGCAAAAGGACATCTACTTTACCTACAGACCATATGATTCATTCATAAATCAGGAAAGTTTTACACTGAGAATTTTACTGGCCTTTTTCATAAATGCATCATGCCATTTATAATCAGTGCAACAGCAATAATAATATCATAAGATGCTTGGAATATACAAGTTCTCTTTCTTCCTGATTGTTGATCAATGAATTCCTTCATTCCCTGACTGTGGGAATCATCATAAGGTTTAATATCCAGCTGGTATAAATCACAGCAACTTCATGCTTCATTGGTATATACAAATGCTGATTTGCATAACTTTAGGATAAAATTTTACAGAGGCACAGATCTGAACACCCATTCACCTTGTTATGGAAATGAGAGCTGTCAGATACTTGGTCATAAATTTTCAATTTTTTGCATATCAGTTTTCCTACCAAAAGAAAATCCATGAAATGTGTTTTCATTTTGGAAGTAGGTAAAAATAAATAAATAAAAAATTAACAGTTAGTTTGATAGCTGCACAGTATCTACAAAAACCTGCAAATATATGAAAGTTATTCACACAGCTGGGAAATTTAAGTAAATAAATAAAATCAAGGCTGAGGAATAATTTCATCATGTAACCTTGTAATAAGTCCCTGGAGGAAATATCCATTCCTTTTGTTCCCCTCTTGGAAGCTATGTAATTGATTCCTAACTGCTATGTTAATGTTCTCTATTCCTGCCAGAATCCCTCTGGAAACCCATTAAAGCAAGCAGGGTTCTCTCCTGGTGTTACCCTGTGAGCACTAGAATATGGGATTCTCCAAAGAGCATCGTAGTTCAGGACAGTAGGCCACAGTGCAAGCTCCAGTGCCAAAGGGCTAATAACTATTAATACAGAAGAGTAAAATATATCAATTTATTTTTCAGAATGCAGAGCAAACAAGGAAAATGTTGCCTTTTATAATGAAAGACCATCTCAGTGGTTTTGTTGCATTCTTTATTTAAGCATTCTGAAAGCTTTACTGTAAGAAAGTAAGATTTAGTACCACAAAGAAATGCATATGTTCATATACCAATCTAAATTTAAGAGAAGGTACAGATAAAAACATGTTTCAAAGTGCCTAACTAAATGTTTTTGAATCAAAAGCACTTGAATTACTAAAAGGAAGATTTTTTTTAGTTTTCATAACTAAATTTTAAAAATTTTATCACAATTTGGGTATACATTCCCTGAAGTGGGAATCAAGTCACTAATTATTTGTCATCACTGATTCTAAGATCACCTTTGACTTGTTAACTTGATGACCCTAAAAATAAATCAACTTTGGCAGCCACACATCCCAGACATATAATTACAGCAAACTTCTCCTCTTCTATAGGTCATCACCTCAAGTTTCACAGCTATAAACACTTGCTGTTATTATACAGACTGCTGACTTTATAACACACTGGGTGGCAGTGTGGAAGTCTTTTTGTTCAAAATGTCCTTTATGAGCATCTCTTCATGCAAAATTGCGGGGGAAAAATAATCTATGAATATAAAACATTTGATTTTAATATTAGAATACTTAGGGAGGGAGTTTCTCTCTTCCTGTTTATTGTTTCATATTTCATAATGGGTATCTGTCTTAGGCATGGTCTTCTTTCTTTGTGGAAAAATTAGGTTGTTTCTGAGAGTGCAGCAGAGAAGAGAAAAGAACAACGTTCTGCTGTGTCAAGACATTGTCAGGACTTATTGGACTTTGCTGGAAAAATTGTAGTATGTCTATATCTGGACAGTAGGAAATAAGATTTGGATGTAAACTGTCCGTGTCTGGATTTAAATGGGAAAAGGGAGGCTTAGGTTTTGCTTGGGAAAAATAAAAATCTCCAAAGTAAACAGAGCCCACACAGAAAGGAACATTTGATTCATTCATATCATTCAGTTGATATATGGATATCCTAGATTAAGGACTTTGTGGTCAAGGCAGTTGAAATTTGCTCTGTAGGCCTGGATTTTTTTTTCCTTTGTCCTTGACAGATAGTTCTTGTAAGGAAAACATTCTAAATCTAGCATTTTAGTCCTACCACTAATTCTGTTTCTTCATTTTTGGGCAGCGCAGTGAAGAATTATAACTTGAGACTCAGACATGCAGAAATGGTTGAGACTCAGTTAGAGCTGACAGCTTTTGGAAACATGTCATGGATGTACTCAGTTCTATGTATTTTGCGAAATCCTGAGGCGGATATCCAATAGAATGAAACTGAGGCCAGATGCTGCATCACAGGGAGCATCATTGGGTTTTTAGGGCCTTAAATCTCTCTCTGCCTCAGAATTCACTTGGGAATACAAAAGCACCTTTCTTCCCAGAGGGCACTGTGAAGATAAACTCATCATTTTTCTGTGAAACATCCTTATTAGCCCACTGAAATTCACATGGAACTCACATTTTCTTTCCCAGAGGGATTTGAATGGTAAGTCAGATATAAAGCCTAAACACAATAAAGAAAAAAGAATACTGATTGATGTTGCTCATGAATGAATAGAATGACATTTTGCATCACTGAATACATCTGTGTTCTGGGTAAAGAAATATGTAATAATACATATTGGTATCCCATGTAAACAATTTTTGCTGCACACACAAAAAAATAACACTGACGTTTCTTAACTGCTTTGTATTTCACTAGTGCAGTTATCCATTACACAGCATGATATATTTAACACATATTAAGCTGAAGATAAGAATATTTTATATGTTATATTGAGTTTCTTTTATATTTAAATGCTTTCAAAATATAAATACAAGCAGTGACATCATCCCTGAGTTCACGAAGAAAGTTCTGCCTTGAACATGTAATTGTATATTTATCTATTATGCAATTTAATATTTTCTTCTGAAGCATCTAGTATAGACAATTGTTAGAGACAGGATATTTGACTAAATGGATCATTAGTCTGATCATTTCCCTAGGTTTCTATGTGAACTGAGGATTCTCTAGCATATGTGCCTGACAAGCGCAGATGGAGACATCTGTAATGGGGTGAGGGCTTGGATCACTGCTGCATCTCACAAACAATGAGAAAATACTGTATGTAAGTAGAGATGTTAAAAGCGGCCTCCATTCTATAAGGAATACAAATGATAGATTAATGTAAAAATTGACATGGTACTTTTGCCTTCCCCTATAATGACATCAATAAGCATCTTCAATATTGATTTTGCTTCTTATTAAAATGGTCTGTTACAAATACAGACATTAAGCCAGATAAATACATAGGTCAGAATATTTCCAGCCAAAAGCATTTAGACTAGAATTACTACCATTTAACCAAGACTAACAAGCCTAGCAAAACAACTCCACACAAACTTCTGAATGCAGAGCTTTAAAAGCAAAATGATCACTGATCCCCATGTAGTATCATACCCACAGAAACTTCCTCAGAGCTGGTACCAGTTAATATTGCTTTTTTCCTTCAAAATGTCAGTACAATGCCCACTGAAATTGTGCCTGTGACACAGAAATGACCTTTCATTCTGAAACAGGACAAAAAAATGCCTTTTTTGAATGCTTGCAGATGAGTTGTTCTCCATTTTGTGAAGGTTGCACAGTTCCTTCCAAATACCAGTGTCCCACATGTGTTAATTCTTAAATTTCAGAAATTACCTCAGCTATGCCAAAGGTTTTCAGACATACTTGTTCAGATTGAATCAGGCTGTAGCAGAAAAACTAAATCTTGTGAAGATGGGACTGTTTCACAGATAGACATTCAAGCTAAAATATTTTAGATACCTTAATATCAAAATTAACTGAAAATAAATAAAAGTGTGGTATCTTAATTCTGAGAAAAAACAAAAACAAAAACAAAAACAAAAACAACAACAAAAAAACAGTACCTTTCTTTTGTCGTATAAGGCATGGTTATCCAACATCATCTTCCTTTCATGAGTAGCATATCTTCGCAAATCACGTCCAAATTGCTGTAAGAAACACAATAGATAAGAGCAATTCTGTCCAATCAAAATTGTTATCCTTTATACTAGAGTCCCAACAGCAGACCAAATAATAAACGAAAATATGAAAATTATCTCTACCAAAAGACTATAGACTGGACAGATGGATCATCTTAAAGAACAATACTTTGATAGTCAATGGTCCATCATTTCAGTTGGCTAGTCTGAGAACAGTTGGGTACTTTAAGAGAAAGCAAGGCTATGTACAGTTTACTATGGGCTCCCACAGTCTCTACGTGAATTATCTCAACAGGTAGCAGGAACTGAGTGAGTAGAGAAAGATAGAGTCCTTTCCTACAAAGGGTCTGATAAAGTGCATTTTTAGAACAGACATCCATCTGCAGAGAAGAGAGAGGAGCTTTTAAGTAGTCAAACATAAGATGAACCTCAAATTCTGCAGTTGATCCAAAATCCAAGTAAACACATTTTATTATCTCAAAACTGAAAAGTGGCTGAAGTAACTCATCAGCTCAGCAGGAGAACATATCGGCTGCAGCATTTTGCCTGGTCTAAAGCACCCTGCTTCCAATTAACCTGGGTTGAACAGAGTGGCAGTGCATCTGTACTTCTAGCACATCAAAAAGCTCACTCAGAACAGGCTTAGGAACTCTTCGTTATACCACATAATCATTCTCTAACAAAATGAACAGTCAGAGGGCAAGCATGTAGAACAGATCACAAACTAGTTCCATGTGGAGACAGATAAATCATTTGAGTTTTGAGTTTGCAATTATATAGAATTTATTTTGAAAATATTGTGCTATTTTATATCATACCCACTAAAAAAGCAATTACACACAAAAACTTCCATTATAGAAAGTAGCTATCATTTGAAACTTTCCTTCCATATTAGAATACTAACTAAAACACTAAGACATTTTATTTTAGTTCAAAACTAATGAGTAAATGTTAATGTTTTATATTTTTAAATAATTTTACAATACGCAAAATAGAAACAAAAGTTTCCTTAATTCAAAATGAAAAATATCTAATTGTTTTCAATTTTCTATGAAAAAAATAAGTTCCAAATAAGAGCATTTCTTCCTCAAATGTTAAATGTCCTGTAAAATCTTTATGATAATTCTGTGAAACTTTCCAAATCATCTCTTTACTCAGTAACTGTTGAAGTCACTTGTTAACACTAGTGTCATGTAAAAGACAATGCAAAGGACTGAAAATATAGTTCTTCATTCCATGAATTTAAACTCTAAGCTTCAAGGAAAACAAATGTTAAGTGTTTTAGACAGAAATCCATAAATGTCAGTGATGAGTTCATCAGCTTCAACCTAAGATCGCTGGTTATGAAAAGTGATGTGTGGAGAGAAGGAACATTTTTTAAAATTCTGTGAATTCTGAATAGCCCTGCAATTGCAACAATAGGTTGGCAATGCTTATAAAAAAAAAAAAAAAAAAAAAAAAAAAAGACTGCTGTGGTTACTTACCCTGGAGCCTGTCCAGCCTAACAAAGCATATGCATATTGCTCAAAGGGGGTTATGACCAGATCCACACGGATTGCCTTCCAGTCTTTGACTTCTGCCATATCACATTTTTTTGATGTATTGTAACTGCTGTTGTCTATGCTTGGTGTGTATAATTTTAATATTGCAAAACATTTTTGAAAATGATCCATGGCATCAACTTCTCTGCTTGGTATCTGTTCCTTTACAAATGTTGATTCAATGATATCACAATACAGAAGTAAGCCCTAAAGAGAAGACATTGCTCACATTGAATTGCTGGATTGGTTTTGCTGAAATTCCAGACTTTCTAGACAGTTATCTTAAAATATCTTGTAAAATACAGTTTCAGTAAACACAGAACTGTGAATGGCAAAATCTGGTCTAAGAAGAGACATAAAATAGCCATACATAACTTTTGGAAAAATACCAACCAATGCTTAGAGAGAAATCTGCAGTGGTAGCTGTCTGATAATGGCAATATCCTAACCTATACTAAGGAAACAATATTTGCAATTCTTCCCCTCTATCCTTTCCCCCTGAGACTCTGTAGTTGATGTCAACAGAAATTTTGGAGCAGAGATTAATGCTTTCTCACAAGGCAGATATCTAGAAAAACACATTAGTCCAGAGAACAGTCTTGCTGACAGCTTCCAAAGAGAGCATTTGCACTGTCTGTTATCTGAGATTTCCTTGTGACAAGGTCTGGAGTCACCAGAGAGTTGGAATGGCCTTGCTCATACCTTTTGTTTGAAGGGACTACACCAAAAAAATGTTGAACCTCAGTAGCCAGATTTTATTAAAATATAAAAGTGATTTTATTTTAAAATATATTGTTCCTTGCAGTTCAGAGTGAGAATAAAAATAAAAGTAATAGAGTGTTGTAAATTAGTTCCTTCTAATCCAGAACTGCAAGAAGTGCTGGGTGGAAGGGGCAGTGCTATCCTCCAGCCTTGCTCTGTAGCCTGCAACCTTTCAACAACTCCTGTGGTTCCAGTATGTATTACCTCCCCCTAAGGTCCTTAGGAAAAGAATCTTTCTGTCATTCCTCATGCCTGTCTCTGTGCTTGTTCTTTGCATTTATAGGCGCCTTCCAAGGCTACTGATCTCCTGGGCATTTCACATTTACTTTACACTCACAAAGCTTCTCATATCTTTGGGATCTAAGGGCACACCTTCCATTGCTCTCAAGCGAATCTCCCCCCACCAGTCAGAAAACTTCTCCTCACCCAAAACACAGCACCTGGGACAAGATAAGGACCAGCCTCTCTCTCTCTGCTGCCCAGCATATCCTTTTTAAAGAATGCAAAATATCAAACAACAACAACAAAATAAATAAGGGAAATATTATCAATCACACTGCTTCCCTCAGTTATACTTCCAGAGCAAAATGGGGCTTTATACAATGCTCCATAACACTGAAACCATCTCTAGCAGGAAGACTCAGCTGGCAAAAATATTTCACTTTCTGAGAGAGGTTGCACATGATGAAAACACTCAGATGGGTGCCTGACTCCTGGTACTCTCAACCTTAATTTAGATTTTATAGATTCATAAAATATAGGAGAGCACTGTGACTGCCTCCCCTCTGAGCACCAGATTACACAGAAAGCAGAGACTTCTGAGATTTGCCTCTGCAAACGGAATCCAGCTTTGTTATAAAGGTTAGCAACAATAATGCATACCATTTCCTCCATAGGTTGTCAAGTGTTTAATCATTATTACTAGAAGGAAAACAACTAAGCTGGATTTATTAACCATGCTTGGGCAGGTGAGCTTGTTAGTTTTCTCTTCAAGACCAACAGGCCAATCAACAATTTTCAGCATATTATATATACTTATGTATTTAAATCCACACATTGACCAAACTCAATTCATCAGGGAACTTCTTTCTGATAAGATGAATAGAGTATTTCTTAAAACTTCCATCATCAGGATAGTTTTATATCCTTGGACCAAAGTTTGTCTCAACTCTGAAGTCCCTCAAATATTTACACATCCTTCTTCCTCTTGTCTAATATTTTTTATTTTGGTCTCACCTTAAAAAAAAAAAAGGGGGGGAGCCAAGAATACTTTCTGACTTTTAGTTAACATATGTTAACTAAAACTTGATATAGGATAAAGAATAATCATATTAGCTTCTTTTTGTTGTTGTTTTGTTTTGTTTTTCTTTCTTCTTAAAAATATGCAACATTGAACTGGGATCATGTAGTACTTTTCTTTCATGGTTATCAATAGGTAATTATAATGTTCTCCATGTCAAGCCTCTTCAAACACAGGTAACAAACTGATTTTTGGAAGGATGTCTCCATAATAAACACCAAATTTAAAAATATGTTATTTTGATTTTCTTTTTGATAATATATCACAAGTGGTTAACTTTATGTGGTAAGGTTAAATGTCTTAGAAAACATTACAATTATTACTATTATATTACTATATTATTATATCAGAGGTACAGCTCTGGCCAAAAAAAAAAAAAAGTTAACAAGATATAATTTCCATGAGGAGACACTGATAGGTACTGTTTTATTTTCAGCTTCCTTTTTTTGTTGTTGTTTTTTTGTTTGTTTGTTTGTTTGTTTGTTGATGATAGTTCCACATTAACGATCCCATTATTTTGCTAGGGATCACTCTCAAGCTGTTTTATGGGTCACTGGGCCAGCCATTTTAATGATAACTATTTGCTTTTCATTGACATTTCTTCTCTGGAATTTTTCCTGAGTTGAAGACTGTTATAAACTAATCTAAGAAAACTCCTTACGTAGCTCCTTCTTGGATTACTTGTTTCCTAGTCTGCTGATTTGAAAATGCTTAATTTTAGCAGGTGTTCTCTCACATCCATCATTAAAACAGCTAGTAATTTTTTCTTGATTTTACCCCAACGTCACAAGGCACTGATACAATTTCCAAATATAAACTCAAAACAGCTGTTGAATGTTAATGCATAAGTGTTTCTAATCTCACCCACTCTTATTAACAAACTATGCCTGACTTCAGGTTAATTCTTAATCTTTTTTGTTGTTGTTTTTAATGCTAAAAAAATTCTTTTGATCTCTTTGATCACTGATATTTAATTCATGACTTCAAAACTTCTTCCCATTCTCTGTAAAAGCTTTTAGCCTATTCATCAGCGTTTTCACATCTCTTACTCATTTTTCCTTTCTTGTCTTTGAGATGTGGGACATTGCATAGCATATCCCAGAAGAAATTCAAATGATTTATTTCCTAACAACTACAGTAGGTTGTGCTAAAGTGACCTTTTTATTGTTCCAGGTACCTACATTTCCCACACCCATATGCTGATTGTAGGTAGTGTTCAGATCACTAGTTTTGCATATTTACCTCATCTATATCAACGCTTCTTTGCTCTAATGAAATTGAAATCTCTTGGTACAAAGAATTAGGAATTAAAGCCCATCTTTCTTAGGTGGACTACAAAAGGAATTGAATTCCTACTACAGATGGGTGTTCTTAGTAGTTTTTTTGTTCTGACACCCTGATAAATCTAGGAAGATAATATAGACAACAGTGGATTCTCCCTTCACAGGCAAGCACCTGGCAAGTGTCTTGTATCAGCGAGATCTGTAGACATGCACACTTGGCCATCAGTAACTATTCCTTGGATTTTAAGCCCGCAAGCTCTTAAGGAGATATGATTATGTATTATTACCTGTGTGTCTGCAAATGACATTGATATAAAATGCTCAGGCTTTTTAAGACATCTTTTGGATGATATCTTCTGCATTAGTTTTGCTTAGTTTTCAAAGTCATTTTTTTCATCTTGCTACTCATTACAAAAATATACAATTGTAAATGTAAACAGAGTAAATTTGACGTGAGAGTCTTTGCTCTACTACACACACTAAAAATGTTCCCTTTACCTAAAATTCACCCTGGATACCAGACCTACCAAAGGTCCTGCCTTTGAGTTCTCCCAGCTGCTTTAGAAGTGCAAATTCCATCTATAATACCACAGCATTTAAAGACAGAGTTTTTAAAGAGTTTTCTTTTAAAACTCTTCGTATTGCAATGTTTAGGAACTACAAGGCAATGCTCCTTGGGGCACCTGAGGTTTAACATCAAGCAAATTATGAAGCAGTTACAACAAAACTGTATTGGAGACTTCCTATTGCTGTTTTCCCTTGCTGACTAGGCCATATCTTCTACTTGAATACATTTTAAGTATTTGCAGATGGTCATGGTTAGCAAATGTGAAAGATACTTAGGAAAGATATTTTAGAACTAAATATCTCTGGGTTATCTTGTAGTGTTTTTTTCAGTGTTTATTGGCTGGGCAACTTCTAAAGTTGATAGAAAGAGCATAAGATGAAGTACCCTGCTGTAAATATGCATTTCAACCTTTAAAAAAAAAAAAAAAGTATTTAGGCAAGAATTACACAAGTGCTGACTCCAACAAACAGTTGAAACCAAAAACAGATTCAAAGCCAGGATGATGCTTTTAAATAGCAGCCAAAGCATAGGTCATATTCATTGTGATAATGTTTCCAATTAATCTGATTTGATAGAGCACTGGACATCACTGTCACCCCATAAAGTACAGTTGAAACAGCACTTCTATACTTTCTGAAAAAAGTATGACTTGAAGGGGCAGTCAGCTATGAAGTTTGCATGAGGTGTCGTCTACTGCTAAAATTGCAGCCTTCACATTAGTCTATGTCAGGGAATCTGCAGCTGTTTTCAAATTTCCATTTGATCTACACAACATAAACTGCTGTAGACCTTGTTTACACAATCAAGTTTTAAAATGTGTGCATTTTCATGTCTCAAATTTACATCATCATCAAAATCAAATGTATTTTTTTAGTTATGTCAATGCCCAAAGGATTTTCCCCTTTTAAAATGATAACGCACGTTTACTTAAATAGAATGTGTGGTGGCACATCAGAAGTATTAATATTGGAGTAAATGTTTGATCAAATTGGGGATGAGTGTGAATTTTGAGAAGAATATATAAACAATAGCTGAAGAATCAAATATCGTCTTTAGCATTCTTTGTTATTTTTAATTAAATGAAATGCTATCCCATTTTTAATGTTACAAGAAGTCATTGTTCCTATATATTGATAGCTGGGTTAATTCTGTTAAAGCAAAGTAAGATTATTTATATCAAAAGCAAATGTAATACAATATGTTCTGAAATTTATATATGTTGTTCTTAATTTCATTCTAAGATGGTTTACTGAAGTGGAACAGTATTATTTTTACTGAAATACCTATAGCTAAACTGAAATAGGATGTAGGCATGTTAGTTCAAGGTTTCAACCCAGAAAAATCGCTACCTAGGTGAGATAAATGGAATTCTATAAAGTTGAACAGCTCAAGTAACTGATGCCTGGGAGCAGTCAATGCTGTTAGAGTGAGGAATCGTAAGGAAATGGCATCAAAGGCTTGATCAGCAATACAAAACTTTTCAGTTGCTGCCTAATCATACAGCTGCCTTGGTCCCTTTGATGACAATTTTTTCAGCTTGAAGTTCCCCATAGAGCAGAATGATCTAATTCTGGGCATGTCCTGAACAGCCTGGTTTTGACAGGAATGCAGAGCCCAGGACCAGAGTTCAGGAACGTTTCCCTGTTTCCATGCCACGAGTATTTGCACTGGTGAGTGACAAGAACTAATGGATAGGTAGGGACATATACATACACATGCATACATGCTTACCCACATATAGATAGACAGTACACACCAGAAAAATCACACTTCATAAGAACTGCCACTGCTGCCAGGATCCTTAAAACATACAAGGCAGTGGAACACTTCTGCCTACTTTATGCAATAACCCCAGAGTCAGGACAATCATACTCAGCCCCATCCTCTGCCTAAGGGGTTTAAGCCAAGTTATCTCAAGTCCCACCAAAGTACTCTAGGCAGCATGCACTACTTTATTTTAGGTAAGAATGTCCTCAGCTCCTGCTGAAACTGAGCCAAAATGCAGCAAAAAATAAAAATAAAATAAATAAAATAAATAAAATAAAATAAAATAAATAAATAAAATAAAATAAAATAAAATAAAATAAAATAAAATAAAATAAAATAAAATAAATAAAATAAAATTAAATTAAATTAAATAAATATCAGAATGTAAAAGGTGAGGCAACATTTGCTTACAAACGAATGAATACAGGCCTGCATCCTTATAAGCAGAGCGAGCATTCATCTTAAAGAAATAAGCTCTTTGTTCCAGCCTCACAACTGTTTCTGTGTCTAGTCTTAGAAACAGTTTTTTTCGCTACTAAAATCCATCTGTCACTCAATAACGAAAGCGCTGCTGTTCTGTGAACCCTGTTTACAAAAAGCTATTTCCAGAAATGAAAAAGCCAGACTAGTTGCTTGTTCATCACCATACACCTCAATGGGACTTCAAGCCTTCCTTTTCCTGACATGTTCACCTCAGCAAGGGTGAATGATAGAGTCTAACCCAGACCACAAAATGTTAAAATAAGTAAGCATAGGAAAGCACCAATAGTCCCGTTTTCCTAAAAGCTGAAAGAAAAATGAAATGGCAATGTGGACTAATGCAACATTATACTTTAATGAATATGAAAGAAAAAAAAATGGAGAGTACAGGAATGCCAGCAGTAATGGCATCTCTTCCTCTGTTGATGGTACATATCTAACAGCAACAGTGCTAAATACAGCAATATAGTTTTTATCAAAAAATAAACCCCCCTTTACACAGTATGTGAATGAAACTGCATTGACACAGATGGCTCAGCCTGTTTGCCCATGCACTTCCAAACTCTAACCCACGGAGGAAGTAATTTCTTACTTTATGAAGTTTCTTGGAATCATTAAAACCATAACCTGTATACTGCATTGCAGCTTTTCCATTTAGCCATTCTTCTTTGAAGTTCTGGGGAGACTGTGTTCTCTGTTCCTCAGTCCATTTATCCCCGGTTGCTGCTGCATCAAAGAGCACGATGGTGTTGATTTAACCACTTAATTTTTCAACAGCTTTCAATGGAAGGATCTTGTTACATTAAACTTTCTGGCTAAGAAAAAGGCCCTTTTAAACTATTTAAATAAGGATGGGGTCCATAGTTTAGAAGTTAAACATTGCAGAATCCTTCACTAAGAGCTGTTGAAAGGAAGTCAACATCATGACCTCAGTGACATTCTTTGAAGAATTTGGGCTTTGAAGCAGTAGCACAAAAGTGGAAAGCTGTGAAGCAACCAACAGGTGTACCGTCAAAAATATAAAAGTGCTTTAGGTTCTTTTTTCTTTTTTTTTTTTCCTTTCCATTTAGAAATCAAAGGTAATAAAAAAGCAAGAAGAATATAATTCCTCTTTCTTTTTGTATTTTCATTTTGCTGGCAGCTAATTTTTCAGTAGTGACAGTAAAAGCCTACATATTACAATGATCACAGTAGAGAGGCTGTATAACAAGTGTTATAAGCCCCAAAAATTCTGGAGAAATAACAAACCACAGAAAATCTTTGTTTGTAGCTTTAAACAATCCCCAGCTTGTTTGGATTTCATTGCTACTTCCACAGTGTATCTCCCCTTCTGACATTTTCTTCATGCTGGGAGATCTCTAGAGGAATCCTAATCTTTTCATCAGACCCTTGGCCTCCCTTGACCTCCTGAACTCTTGCCTGCATTCAATTCTGCCAAATTTTATTCCTTGGGAAAAAAAAAAAAATCAACAAGAATGATTTATTTTCTCTTTCTTTCCTTTCAATTCTATTTAATGAAAACAACTCAGGATGACCTGAAAAGCTTCTGCAGTTGCCAGACTTCTCAGATCACAGCCATTGTTCTCATTAATGTAAGTGAAGTGTGATGGAATGGGAGAAGGAATGAAAGGCTGCACCCAGGGACAGGCTCTAGACACACCTTATTGTCATTTTTCCTTTCTGCTGTGTGGTAATAAACAGTTTTGGAGGACATGCACATGCCTTCCCAGAGGTTCAAATCTGCTTAAGAAAGCAAAAGGACAGCTTCCAAGAAGAAACGCAGCTTTGCTCAGAATAAAGGGAGTGGGATGCCTGAGAAAGAATGTTTACATAAATAATAAAAAGATAAAAATAGAATTGCTCCTCAACACTCAACTGTCACAGCTTCATTGCTTTTCATTGGAGTATGATAAAGTATACCTTCTAGCAGTCTACTTTAATATGTACACTTTGCATGCACAATTATGACAGAAATCAGAGAAATCTTTAAAATTAGTAATAGTCTGTTAACATTTTGGATACCAAGTCAGCCAAAAGAAGAGAAATTCATCTAGGGTTGTATTTTACCAGGAAATAACAAGTTTGATGTCATTAAGCCAGTAGAAAGATTTCGACCACCTCTAAAATATATCAGTTCTTCATAAAATCAGATAAGTTTCTGCTTGTTTGGAGAATATTTTTAGTATCTTTCACATATTAACACATTATATGTTAATTAAAGTACATCAGTCAAGAATAAATTTGAAAGCATTCTCTCCAGGCTATCTGTGCTGAAAGCTGACTTTGCTTAGCAGTGAGGCATGATGATTCATCTCAGACTGATGGTCTTTTTTACATGTTGAAATGTACTCAAATCCTTTGAACAGTACGGGAAGTAAAGTGAAAAATGTCTTAGCTGGCCTGACAGGAGAAAAATAAATAAATAAATAAATAAATAAATAAATAAATAAATAACAGGCTTACCTTTCCCAACATACCATATTTCTGACCCAGTAATATTTTGAGGTACCTGCACCTATTATAATTCAAAATTTTCTAACTTTAATGTTGCTTGGAAGTGAAGAATTTTGAATACAACAAACCTTAGATGAACAATTCTTCTGTGAAATATGTGCATACATAAAACCACAAACATCAAAGAGGACTACATCAATTTTTACCATATTCCAAAAAACAGGAAACCAGGAAAAGTGTTAATCTGTGGGCTGAAAGGAAGACAGAATTCCAGGTGTTTTGTACCCAAGCTTTCAGACTTACTAACATCGCACCATGGGGTTACAGAAGTTTACTATACTTAATGTTGGAGCTCCCCAAAATCAAAGCAGTAACTTGGGGAAACTACTCCCATCTCAATGAGAAATTAAACAAATACTGTTTTGTTTCAAAGTATAGCAGCTTTTCTGCATCACCCAAAACTCCATTTAGCCTAACTTACCTCTGATCAGTTGCAGATTCTTAGGGGAGGATATAATAGTGTGTGCAGGGCACCCCTGACATTACCTTCAACTTCAGAGCTGTAGGATACACCTAGCTCATCATGATTAATAATTAAATAGAACATGCAATTTCAAAATAGTGAAATCTTCTGTGAAAAGGAGTCAACATTCTTTAAGCATTATATAGGCTTAATTCCATGCTGTTAGAACATCTTTCTTTTTTAGCCAAATATTATTAAATTCATACCTGCTTTTTCCACAAGTCAACAACTTTATGCAGAAGTTCATCATCTTCTCTTGGTCCTGGGTTGGTGATCAAAAAATCAATATCATGTCCAATCTTTTTACCCCTAGAAGTAATAAATAACAAGAAGAAGAAGAGTTAAATTCTTGCTGAATTTATGCTGTTTTCAAAGATAATTTTTTTCTCCTGCATTATAAAAAGAGTTTGCAGCATAAAGTGATAGCAATATTTCTTGAAATACAATCAAAATAGAATCTTCTATTTCTTTTATCAGGTCTGTCAGTGTTCATTGTTAAGTAATAATTTAAAGTTTTGATGTATTTTCTCTGTTGTTCAGCTAGATACAGCAGATCCATTTGGTGATGTTAAATCTCTTTCTTCTCCTAAAGTCTCAGAAAATACAGTTTCGGTCTTTGGATAAAAAATTTTAATCTAAATACTGCAGAACATATTAGGAATGCAGTGCGGTAATAGCAGATAAACTTGCCAGTCTAACTACTACAGTCTTAAATATTTTTCTTTAGCTTTTGATGGACACTTTAATGAACAAAAGTGTGATTATGTGCAATTTCATTATTTCTTTTTATGACAGAAATAAAATCTCCAAATATTTTACATTTCTTCTTTCTTTTTAAAATGTAACAATGCTTTTTGTTATTGTTTTTTGTTTGGCTGGTTGTTTTTCTAGAATTTTGTTTGTTTCATTTCTTGAGAACAGTTCAGCCTTAATGTGACTAAAGCTTCTTTATTACATTTACTAAGGATTTCAGAATTAAATCTATATGCACAGAGTTTAATCGTAAATATTCCTAAGCAAAAATCATGTCATAACCTCTTGCTCTCCTTCATTTAGAGCATTCAGCTTGCCTTTCATCCGGTTACCAAATATGTTATGCATAAATCAGATTAAGATGCATCTGTCATTAGAAAACAGGAGAAAGCATCTGGAATGTTTCCCTTCAGAATCATAAAATGTTTGAGAAAGTCTGAAAATTTGTTCTGGAGTGCAATTCATCTGAGGACTGCAGAACCAATACAAGGCATTCATTTTCGTCTAATTGTTGCCAGGGACTGCATACGCATCCATTTATTGGCTTTAATCAGGCCAGCCTGAGGAGAAAGGGAAGATATTTATGCAAAGAAGATACTTCTGCAACTAGGTGCAGTATATAAAAGGTGGAGTAATTACCCAGAATCTGAAGTAGTGGCACCTGAGTGTAGAATATTTCCAAAATCTTCTCCATTAGAGGGAAAGTTTGCTATTGCAGATGTTCACAAATGTATGCAATGTTATAGTTCAGGTTTGTTTCTGTTCAGTGCTATGTCCAGTATTCAGAGAACTTGTGAACTGTTACAAGAGTAGTGAAAACTGGAACTGTCTAAAACAAAAGATTTGCCTTTTTGTGTGTGTGTATTTAATGAAATTGAACTTTCTCTTAAAATAATGCGTAAAATTGAACCTGATTTTTTAGACTTCGACGTTTGTAGGAATAGAACTCATTGGCAAACATCTGCTACCATTTGTATAACAGGAAATCATCTGGATGGACAGTAGAACTGCATTAGCAGCAAGATATAAGGAAATGAAAATGCAGGTTTTACATTTGACAAGCTAACTTGCTATAATGTAACTATTGTGCCATGTCTGCAGCAAAGTCAAAATTGCTTAAACAGGTGGAAAAGATTTCAAAGACATTTCAAACAAAGCATCAGTCTAGGCTTAGAATCTGAAAAGCAATTCAAATTCAAGAAGTTAGTATTTCATGTAACACTTTTTTTTTTTTTTTTTTTTTTTTTTTTTTGAGGATAACATTCATTATCTCATAAATTACCATAATAATTTGAAGTTCTTGTATAGCAGTTTTTACTTACAGGTTTCAAAAAAAAAATTATTTTTTTTTTTTCCAAAGGGAAGCAATTTGCTATTCCTATCTTGGAGATGCAGAAAGTGGCAGAAGAAAACTTGCCTAAAATTATTAAAATGAATATAATCAAAAGAACTTAGAAGCTAATAGAATCAGAAGCTGATTCCTGCTTTTTCCTCTGGTACTCAACACATATTCAATATATGCATATTTTATGTTAACTATGTCTACAATCTCCTGCCTCAGGCTACCCATAAAACCTCAAGATATCTAAGGTGTTTCACTGGTCATTTATTTCCCAAGACAGGGAGCATTTATTGAAATACTTCTGTCTGAAGTGATAGTGTTTAGAACTGACATAAAAGCACTCAAAATAAAATCATTGTTTTTGTCAAATACATTTTGGATTCTCTTTGAACTAATTCTCATCGGGTAAATTTCTTACTGAAGTTGTCAGGGACGTTGTACTGGAACATTTAGTCACATTTCCACTAGTGCTGCTTGCCAAATAATTTTTTTCATTCTAGATAAATGTATTACCTTCCTTAAAATATAAAAACAATCTAGTAAATTCAAAATCTGTATAATTTATACTTCTCATGGTTAGTAAACCATGCAAAAAATGCAGTAAATTGTACTTTGGATCAGATCATCATTCTTTTGAAGTTGAAAGGAACATGGTCATTGTTACAGCAGGGTAGGGATTTTCTTCACATAGATATATACATAATATATATATTTTTATATTTTTGTATGTATGCATACAAGCATACAACCATCGGTATTCATAAACTCATGTAAAGGTCATATGGGATCAAAGAGTGCCAAGATGCTCTGTCCCCATCTCAGGAAGATCAACAATTATCTCTATACCAACAGTTATATACATACCAACAGTTTCTCTGAAGATGAAGCTAACTATTGATGATTGATGTGATTAAGTACCTGAGTACATACAAGTTAAACACCATAGTAACTGACATCTGATCCTCAACACAGATTTGGAAACCCAGAATTCATCACCTGATTAAGTGCATCAGAGATGAAACCTCAATCTCTTGTTCGCTCCCAAAGCTGGAGAGGAATGCTGCAGGCTTTGGTCTTTTCCGAACCTCACCACATTCAGGAAAGTGGGTTAGAGATTGGCTCCACCATGATCTAGACACTGAAGGGTGTTAACTAGGCATCATTTACTTAGAAATGAAAACAAACACTTTGAAAAATTAACTCCAAGTTGCTGGGAGTGCCTGTCCTCATTTATCTTAGCCCAGTGACTGGTACACTGATCACTCATCTTTTTATTGCCATATTTATCTCAGAAATATTGGCAATGTTCCTGTTTCACAAGAGGCAGATCCTCAGTCTTTTCTCCTGCCTTCCATAGCAGTGCAGTTCCAGGACCAGAGGTCAGAATTAGCCCTTGATTCTACACCAGTGTCCACAGGTCATGTTAGCTCTTGGATTAAAAGCACTCAAAAGAAGGAGAACACTCAGTCTGATGCTTTCACATCCAGATTTTTTGTTTGTTTTCTTTTTTATTTTTTTCCTGTTAAACAGGAAATGCAGAGACAATGCTTGGTGCAGAGAAGAGAGTCCTAAGAGTACTCCTCTCTAAATGGTTATCCTCACGAGTACAGTGTATGACACTATTTCTGGCTCTACAAGTCTATTTTATACTGCAATCTAACATAAATCCACACAGGCTAATGTGTTTAGTATGCTAAAAGATGGTCAGAGATGTAGGGATTCAATTCTGGCATGCCACTGCCTCAGAACTCCAATTGCAAGGCTTTTATATAAAAGTTGAGTGCTATTTAAAAAATAAAACTAAACAGTTCCCTTTACATCATCTTTTTCTTTCCTTTAAATCTAAACCTAATCCTTTTTGGGCTGGGGCCATAAGAAAAACAGCACCTTACAGAACTGAGATTGCAGCTTAGCTTTTGTCCTAATAATCTATTCAAGCCTGAGGACTACAAAAGACAGAACACTGTTAATTAACTGTGTTCAATTCTTGGCTGACTAAACTTGTATAAAGCTGATAATTAATTTATTGTTAAGGAACAGGTTGTAGGAATTTTCTTTTTGTTATTATTGTTTTAATACAAAATCTAAATTCCAAGTCATTAAGTATTGTTAATAAACTTAAATAAATGGATCAAATGATAATATGGTAAAGGATAACCACATTGTCCTATTCTATAGAGGAAATTTATGGAAGATTAGATATTGTTGAGTATTATGTATGCAGAGTATTTTGAAGCCTCAGGATGTTCTACAGCAGCTAAGCCATATCAGTGGCAATTCTCATGAAAAGATTTTAGTTGAGAAAAGATGTACTGATATTTCGCTACCACTCACAAAGCTTTGCTAATGGAGGAGCTAAACCACCTTTTTGCAATAGTAAGTTATGTGTCAAAGCCCTGAGAACCATTTAGCAAGCTTTGCACTTATACAGAGTTCAAGTGGCTACGGAAGAAAATGCTGCATTTCCATATATGTGCTTGCATTAGACATCACTACAAGTCTTTCTTAACCTTGCAAGTCCTTGAAGTGGGTGAAATACAAAATGATCAACAGCCTATGTTCATAAGAGTAAGTGTATTTAATGTTTAGCATTTTCTAGAAAATATAAACAACGAAGTAGCTCACAGGCAGCACAACACCTTTGGATGGACCTGTCATAACACTGATATATTATTACCTTTACTATTGACACCATATGGTTCAAAGAAATATTACTTCTCAGTGTTGCCACAATATGCTGGGCTTTATCTGCAAACTAAGTAAAGGAGTTTCTTCTTAGAAATGCTGCTAAATCCTAGATTTGTTCATCAGCATATTCTCTATCAGCTCCCTTCAGCCATGAAGGCATTCTCCAAGAGCAGTGCATTACTATGGTCAGACGGTATCTATATCTGCTCTGTGTATGTAATCACCCACAGTACATACAAACAACCCTGCATTTTCCAGCTAAGCTTTCTATACTATAGTTGTTCTTCACTGGTTTACTCTATCCCTGATTTTCTGTCAGGTCTTCATCATTTTGGTTCACAGTATGATTTCTTTTTTTTTTTTTCCCCACACACTACAGATCACGTTTTTAAAACATTTTATGCTCTACTACTGTGATGTTCTCACTCCTGTCCATTTGTTTGGTATTCAGAGACTATGGAAATACTCAGATTGGAATGTTGGCATTCTCTCCTAGTTTGATTTTATAGTCTCTGTGTTCTCAGAT